GGTGATTGATGACTGACAGCCAGGGGAAGGGATTGAGAGGTCGGCTGTTCCCGCCCGCTCATCACCCCTGCCTCCTCAGCAGAGCTAAGAATGTCCGACTGCTCCCTGCTGGCAAGTGGGCATCCCCTGAGGGCTGCCGGGCTGCCAGAGGGATGTCTGACTGCCAGCTTAGGCCCAATCCCCCGAGGAGCAGGCCTAAGCCAGCAGGTGGTCATCCCTCGAGGGGTCCCAGACTGTGAGAGGACACAGGCCGGGCTGAGGGACCCCCACCCCTAGTGCACAAATTTTTGTGCACCGGGCCTCTAGTTAGATATATAAAAGGCTAAGTTGACTCAGGCATGCGTGATACCTATAAAGGTGTCTCTGGCACCAGTTGCACGTGTGTATTTCCATCTGTCATTATCAATCGTGAATTTGGTTGACACTTCTATTATGGAGAAAGGGCAAATAGTGATATTAAAATATTTCTTCTAATTAATTTCCTTTCAATGTGCACAAATCCATGCACCAGGCCACTCGTAAGGAAAATAAACCACATGAACCACCCACTGCGAGCCCACAGCTCACGGGGCACAGCGCACAGCAGGACGTGCATTGCAGGTGTTACCTCCCTCAATCCTCACTGAAGCCACTGGGAGGCCCCCCTCCATCCTCGGAGTCACTGCCCAGGGCCCCAGCAGAGTGACCCGCAAGCCCAGCTCTAAACTACCCAAGGAGTGCAGCAGGCTCCTCTTCTCTATGTATTCATTTATTTTAAAAAATATATTCCCACTGATTTCAGAGAGGAAAGGAGAGGGGGAGAGAGAGAGAGAGAGAGAGAGAGAGAGAGAGAGAGAGAGAGAAAGATCAATGATGAAAGAAGAATCATGAATCAGCTGCCTCTTGCACTCCCGCACTGAGGATCGAGCCTGCAACCAGGGCCTGTACCCTGACCGGGGATGGAACCCTGACCTCGTTCACAGGTCAATGCTCAACCACTGAGCCACACCAGCCGGCCTGTTTTCTTATTGACGACCGGCAGCCCTGCTTTCTCGGTGACAGAGGACTTGTCACGTGACGGTGCTGTCCTCTCGCCCACGGCAGAGCTGGGGTCCTGGAGCAGGGGGTCCGCCCTGGACACTGGGAAGAGCGAGCTTTGGGCGGGAACTGATGCGTGGGAACCCTCCCTCCGCAGGCCCGCGAGGTGTGCGATGTACCTAACGAAGAAGGACGCCATGAGCCTGCTGTGCTCCCTCTCGGAGGCGAAGAAGATGAAGGTGGCCGTCATGTATCGGCGAACCATGGGGTTCGCTGGCTCCGGGGCCTTACTCGGGGCCATGGTCGGAGGCCCGCCGGGACTGGCTGTTGGTGAGTGCAGTGCCCTGTGGGGTCGGGGACAGAGGCCTCGGGTCCCCAGGGCCTCACAGGAGCCTGTGACCCGTGTGAGGGGCTGGGGGGCTGAGTCTGAGACTCGGCCTTTGTGTACAGACGTGTCCGGTGGGACACACGTGTCTGTGTCTCAGATGTGCAGGGCGCCCTCCTGTGGCTCCGTGCGCCCTGTCCAGGGGTGTGCCCTGTGTCCCCTGGGCAGGCCCGGTCCTGTCTTCATTGCAGGGTCAGGGAGGGAGCTGGGATTCCAGGCCTCTGGCTACTCACGTTAGCTGTTCAGAGAGCGCCCGGCCCCCCGGTCCCCGGTCCCCAGTCTGTGCAGGAGAAGCTGCCCACGGTTGCCCACATGCACCTGCCCCTGGTTTCACCCCGGCTCCCGTTTGGGGACCAGTTTCTGCCAATGGGGGAGGTGTGGCTGGTTCCCATGGTCCTTGGAGGTGGGGTGAGTTGCTCCCTCTAGTCTGGGAGCAGGAGGTTCCCGGGGGAACCCGCCACGGGCTGTGGTCTGAATCGTGGGGAGGAGCTCCCAGCGAGCTCCGAGCGGCATGGTGAACAGCCCGACTAACCGAAATTCCTGTCCCCCAGGGAGCGTTCTCGGGGGGCTCTTAGGGTCCTTGTCGTGGAGCACGGAGTTTAAGCCGGTCAGTCATATCCTCAAGGGGCTGCCGCCTCCGGAGCAGGAGAAGCTCTGCAACCACGTCGTGGCCAAAATCGGGAACCTGCAGTGGAGGGACGTCCAGCACCTGACCAAGCTGGTCATGGGCAGCGAGGCCCTGCAGGAGCAGCTGCTGAAGCTGCTCGAGGGCTACGTCAACAAGGAGCTGAGGACCTCAGTGCAGTACGGCGACTAGGCTCGGGCGGGGGCCTAACCTGGGGAGGCCTGCGGGGGGCGGGGGGCTGTGCTGGGTCCTGTTCTGGAAAGTGAAGGTGAAAGAGAATAAAACGGGCCGAGAGAATCTCTGTGCTGAGCGGATCCCTGGGGGAGAGCCTGCAGCCCCGAGCCCGCACAGCGCAGGGACCAGAGGACACCGGGCCATCGCTGACGAGTCCCCCCTGCCCTCTGCGCTGGCTCCTGTCTGGGGCTCAATCCGGCGGCACCCGGGCGCCTGGAGCAAAAGCTTGTGGATGCATCACAGCCGGTGTCATAGGTGCCCCACCCGGCCCACTCGGAACCTTCCAGAAAGAGCTCTCAGAGCCGCCGTGGGCGTGGCCCGTGGGGAGCTGGCGCCCGGCAGAGGCGCCTGTGGCTGAGGGGGACAGGT